TGTCTGGTGAACAGCTTTGGAAACAGATCTCTGGATCTTCACAGTAGAGAGAAGTTACAGTCTATTATAATCTTAGTAGTGACTCTATCCATCTTTGGGTCTTGTGTACTCAACTGCTGTCTTAATTCTATCTCCATTTACAGTCCATCAACCCTCAGATGATCCCGTGACATTCTAACTCCATCTAGCTTGGTCCCTTGATTTTCCCCCCAAAGCCTGAAAGTCAACAAGAAAAGGAACTCTCAACCTCTCTGTGCACCAGTTAATTTGGAGACATCTCTGTCTGACGTCACTCCTTCTCCCTTAGTCCAGGTATCAGGCAAGTACTTCCTGTTATGCAAGCGGCACCACTGATGCACTTTTGAGGTCCTTTAGACAGACATGGGAAATGTTCCCTGTCACTGCTGTTGTCCTTACAGCCTCAGCTATAAGCAGTCACATCAGTCATCTGCCCAATTCCCTAATGGTACTTAGGGTTACCTTTCCAAAGGGGGAAATGAGGAGGAGAAAGGAGCCAGTCAGGCAGGGGCTTTATTAATCAGTGTTCTCTAGAGAAACAGAACTGGTAGAATTAATCTCTATATAGATATAGAAAGGGGATTTACTAGAGATGTTTACAGCCTGTGGTCCAACTGGACCAACAATGGTTGTCTACCAATGGAAAGTCCAAGAATCCAGTAACTCCTCAGTCCAGCAGGCTGGGTGCAGCTGGTCTTCAGTACACACTGGAATCCTGAAGAAGTAGGCTCTAATGTAGTGAAGAAATGGACCTTCCAGGGAGATCAAAGGTAAGGAAACAAAGATAGAGAGCTTTCCTCGCCTTTGTCTTTATATAAACTGTCACCTGAAAGTGACTCAGATTGAAGATGGATCTTCCTGTCTCAAAAGATCCAGATTAAAGGATGGTGAGGCTTCCCACTTCAGATGATCCCCTCACATGTGTATTCAGCCTCTTGTGTTCTAGGAATTTCCAGATGTAGTCAGATTGACCCCAAGACAGCCATCACAGGACTCTGAGAAACAAGCAGTTCTGACTTTTGTCCTTGGCCAGACATTGGAAATGTCCTTGGTTCTATTGGCAGCTCAGTCTGGCCAGAGGGAAGAAGTGCCGAATCTTTAGAGGCACCAGTCTTGTTCTGGTCTCTTGTTATTTTTCTTCTTTAACACATCAGTGACAATGAGTATGGCTACTTGGAAGTCATGTGTATGTACGGTATGACTGGAATCCTAGACCCTGGCATGGAGCAATCCATTGACATCTTATGGGTGGGGCACCTAGACTGACCACCTCACTCCCTGCTTCAACCCAATAAAGACTTATGAATTTCTAGACAGGGTCCCTGTGTGACAGCCCTTCTTTACAACATGTTCATGCTGTCCAGGGGCTCCGCTGGCTTCCTGTTCATGACATATGGGAGCTCCGCTGGCTTCCTGCTCATGATATACAGGAGCTCTGATGGCTTCCTGTCTTTTGAACTCTCACCTATGAATATCTAGTAAACTTTCTAAAACTTATTCCCACAGCATAAAATTATTGAGTTTTTGAAACAAAGTACACAGAAGCCCCTTGATTTATTGACCTGGGGCAAGAAAGCCTCTGTTGCTCTCTAAGACGCCACACTTTGTCCCTATATTACTATCACCTATTGAGCCAAACATTCTAAATCTTACTTTAGCAATTGACACTAACTTGATATAAGTACTTTTTTAAAAGATTTTATTATGTGTACAACATTCTGCTTCCATGTATATCTGTACACCAGAAGAGGCCCCCAGATCTCGTAAGGGATGGTTGTGAGCCACCATATGGATGCTGGGAATTGAACTCAGGTCCTCTGGAAGAACAGTCAGTGCTCTTAACCTCTGAGCCATATCTCCAGCCCGATATAAGTATTTTTATGTAGATCTTCTATATAGTGATGTTAACTGTGGCTGGCTGGTCTCGAACTCACAGAGATCCACCTGCCTCTGCCTCGCCTCTCAAGCGCTGGGTTTAAAGACGTGCACCACCACTGACTGGCTTTTTTTTTTTTTTTAAATACAGGGTCTCATTATGTAGCCCTGGTTGACCTGGAACTTTCTAAGTAGGCCAGGCTGGCCTCAAACTCATAGAGAGCCACTTGTCTCTGCTTCCCAAACATTAGAATTAAAAATGTATGCCTTCCCAATTAGAAAATGCTCATTATTGTAGTACACCAGTGATGATTAATATTCTCAACTTGACAGATGTAAAACCATGTAGGAGATTAGCCTCTGGGCACATCAGTTACAGATTCTCTAGATTAATCTCTGGCTGTGCCTATGAGGGGTTGTCTTGATTGGGCTAAGGAGCCACCCTAAGAGGGCAGTACCATTCCTTGGTTTGAGTCCTGGATGACAGAAAAAGGAGAAAGCTAGCTAAATGGGAGCGTTCACTGACTTCTGCTTCTTGACTGTAGATGCAATGTGACCTATTGCCTCAAGCCTCTCCCACCAGGACTTTCTTGTCACATTGGACTGTGACTTGAATGGACTGTACCCTTGAACTGTGAGATAAAATGAGCCCTATGTCTCAAGCAAGAAGGTAGGTAAGCATAGTTAGTATAACAAAAATTATGCTGTGTCATATAACATTCACCCAAAGTCCTAACCATAGTCCTAAGCCTATTTTCCCAAGGCTGCTCACATATCTTAACCAAAGGTCAGGTCCAGTCTCCAGTTCAAGGGTCAGGATCCCAGAGTAGACTCTCCAGATGCAGGGCAGATCAAGGTGGGGTCTCTCCAGTGTCCCCAGCAGTTCTAAAGATGTGCAGAGCACTGCATTGCTCTTGGTCTAGTCATATGTCTGGTTATCTTGAGTGAGTGATGTCACTGGGTTCTGGCTATCAGATGCAGCCAGGATAGTGGGGCTTTGTCTAAGGTATTTTTTACATGTCTAAAAGGCATGTTACACTATGCTCCTCACTCCATCTCTCCCTTAAGTTGCTTTTGGCAGCTCTTTTTATCACAGCATTCCTAAATAGAGGTAACAAAAAAGGATACAATCACTGCCTCAAGCAGTCATTACGTGTGGACCCCAAAGTAGAGCATAGAACTTTGGGTGAAGCAATGTCCTGTCTTGGAAGGCACTGCCCAGTGAGGGAGGGAGCTGTGTGGTATCAGCCACTGGTATTCCCAGGAGCTGGGAAATGGACATGTCGGTTCTGAGAAGGGATCTGTTTGGAGTGCCGTTAAATAGTATAATCCTGTCTTTTGTTGTTGTTGTTTTGTTTTTGTTTTTGTATATCCTTGGCTGTTCTGGAACTAGCTCTGTAGATCAGGCTGGCTTCAAACTCACTAGAGATTTGCCTGCCTCTGTCCCCTGAGTGCTGGGATTAAAGGTGTGTGCCACCAACCCCAGTCAAACCTGTGATCTTAACAGAGGCTGAGGCAAACTAAGCTACCTGGAAAGACCTTGTCTCACTCCTGTACCCAACTCAACTCAGCAGTCATTACCACCACAGTCTATAGTCTTCAGTCCATTACCACAGTCTACACTCTTCAGTTCAGTGTTGCTAGATGTTGAGTTCTTCACGAATCCAAGCAGCTCACATTCCATTTGAGAAGTTTTGGAGAATACCAGGCAGATAGGAAACCTGGATTTGAATTCACTTAACAATTGTGTGGTCATGAGGGAATGCTTGTGATCAGTATCTTCATCTGAAACTCTCAACAGCATGAGCAGTTCTCTCTAATTTTTTAGTGACCTTGACTAAGATCAAACCAGGATTCATGGTTTTGATTCAGAAAAGAATTTCAGTATGCCTTTAATCTCAGCACTAGGGAGGCAGGGGCAGGTAGATCTCTGAGTTCAAGGCTATCCTGATCTACAGAGTGAGTTCCAGACAGCCAGGGCTATAGAGAGAAACCCTGTCTTGAACTCCTTCCCAGAAAAAGACAGGGTCTCACTATATATCCTTGGTTGGCCAGGAACTCAATATGTAGACCAGGCTGGCCTCAAATTCACAGAGGTCTGTCTGTCCCTGTTGGAATGAAAGAAATGCACCACCATACTCAGTGAGTTGGAGATTTTATTAAATATTTTAAATTAATTAATTTTTTTGAGACAGAGTCTCACTGTGTAGCTTCTTTCTGGCTGTCCTGGAATTCACTCCATAGACTAGGCTAACCTTAAATGCAGAATCCACATCCACTGTCTCCCAAGTGTTGGGATTACACCATGCCTGGCTATTAGATATTTTAGCATGGGTGTGGGCTTCTCGAATAGAGAGTCACAGAAAGTAAGGCATGTCTAAGTGTGGGTGAAGTTTCCTCAGGGAGAGTCATAATTAACTGTCTTAGCACTAGCCATATATGCATTTTCTGTGGTGCTCATGTTATATCTCAAAAGGTTGCTATAGAAACTTAAAACAAAACAAAACAACCTTTCTTTCTCTTAATAAATGAAGTTAGAGCTTTTAGGAGCCACCAAGGTTGCGCAATAGTTGCCGATTAGAGTCCTAGAAAGTGACAGATTTTTAACTGGGAGGAGAGAAGGGCCTTAAGCATCGCTAATTGTGTTGGGTTCTTGCTCCTTAGTTGTTGAGAAACTTCAACTAGAATCCTGGGTGAGGGGCTGTTTTCCTTCTCGTGCCCTCTTCCTTTGCCTTTCTAGCCTACCTCAGTACTACTTTATAGTGTTGTCTTCAGGACCAAGAGAACTATGTGTGAAGTGGGGGTCCCTCCCATCAGCATAGGGGGAAGGCAGTCCTGTGAGGAATGGGGGTGAAGGGCAAAAGGGACAAAGCCTGACCAACGTCCTTACAATCTAGCTTCTATATATCAGATAAGGCCATTTCCCCCCCACCCCAGTTTACGAATGACATGGCTGTGACTATTATTTTAAAGCTGAGGTGATTGGTTTTAAAGTCTCTTCCTTATCTTTTCCTCTGGCAGGTCATAATCCTGTGTGAGTGTGTGTATGCAGCAGCTGTGTGATTGAGCAGACAAGGGAGCAGTGAACAGAGACAGGAGTCCCCAAAATGGCTCATGCTCTGCGTGAAGTCAGGGCTCACCTCCAGATCCGAAACCTCCTGGTCCGACAATGCCTGGCCGAATTTCTGGGTGTATTTGTGCTCTTGGTAGGTGGGGTAATTGAGGGAAAGTGAGAAGGGAGGTCGGTCAGGGTTTCTGGCTCTTCTTGGTGTCATTTTCTCTGGTAACCCACTTCCTTTCTCCCCAGTTTCTTCTCTTTTCCCTCTCTGTGGCTCTCTTTCCTCTTTTACTCCCTCATCTTGTTTTAGTTTTAAGGTCTTGCTTTGTACTCTAGGCTGGCCTCAACAGTCCTCAACAAACATCCTAGCTTAGCCTATTTTTACTTTTACAACTTTTTCTTATTTATATACTTACCTGGCAAGGGATAAGCCACGATGATCACGAAGGTGGTTTTCTCAGGGCAAGGCTTGCCCATTGTACACCAGATGTGCGAGACCCTGAGATTTCCCCAAATGTAGGAAACCCAACTGTATAATTTGTTGTAGTAGAGACTGTGTTCATTCTGTCTCCTAAATAAATGTTTTACTTATTTATTATCTTGCTATGTAGTCCTGACTGGCTGGGAACTGCAGAGACTCTCCTGGGGGTGCTGAGACTCGAGCCACCACCACACCTGGCTCCTACCTCTCCCTTTCTTCTTCCTCTACCTCCACGTCTCCTGTTTCCTTTTCTTCCATTTCCCTTCCTTTTGAGTTTCTCAAATTTGATCACTTTTCCTGGTGGTTCCCTGCAGCTGCTCTCTCTCACATGGGTCCCCCGGGACCTCTGTCCCTCATCATTCCTCTCCCCACCAGCTTGTCATTCAGGGTTCTGTGGCCCAGGCTATCACCAGTGAAGAAAAAAAAGGCAACTCCTTTACCATGCTTCTGGGCAGCTCTCTGGCTGTTGTAGTAGCTATCTACGTGGCAGGCAATGTCTCAGGTGAGCAGGGTGGGAGCACCAGTGTGCACGTGAATGTGTGATGAGGAAAAGGCACATCCTTTCTGTGACTCATGGACATTATCTCCTTGAGCTTGACCAGTGTCATGGACTGAGATATGCCTTTGACCTCATCCAGTCTCTCTCCTTCCTCTAGCTAGCTGTTCCCCTCTAGTCTTAGCTCAACTAGGCACCATCTAGAGTTATCTGAAAGGAGGGAACTTCAAATGAGAAAATGCCTCTGTAAGATCCAGCTGTAAGACATTTTCTTAATTAGTGAATGATGGGGGTGGGCCCAATCCATCGTGGGTGGTGCCATCCCTGGGCTGGTGGTCCTGGGTTCAAAAGACAGCAGACTGAGCAAGCCATGGGGAGCAAGCCAGGAAGCAGCACCCCTCCATGGCCTCTGCTTCAGCTTCTGCCTCTAGGTTCCTGCCCTGCTTGAGTCCTGTCCTGACTTATTTTGATAGTGAAGAGCAATACAGAAAAGTATGAGCCAAATAAATCCTTTCTTCCCCAGTTGCATTGGTTAGGGTGTTTTGTCACAAAGGTAGAAATCCCAACTAAGACATCATTCTCCACACCAGACTCCGGGCTCACTCAGGCAGAAATCTCCAGCCGAGAGTAGAGGATAATTACATTATTTTGTGCTTCAACCTGAAGCCTTCATCCCTGCTCAGTTCCTCATCAGCTTGTCTCTTAATATATATTGTGTTAGCCGGCCTGGCCTCAGCCTTGAGACACAGTGTGCTGCGGGGGAACCAGGAGACCTGCTCAGGTTCAGAATCTGGCTTCATTGTGTGACTTTGATAAACCATTAAAAAAAAAAAAGCCTGTATGTATGTCTGAGCAAGGGCATAAGGTGCCTGAAGAGGGCTTTGGACCTCCTGGGACTGGAGTTACAGGTTGTTTTGAGCTGCCATGTGGGAGCTGATAACTCAAGGTCCTTTCCAAGAGCAACTGTGCTCTCAATCAGCTCCCAAATCATTATCTTTTTGAGGCTTAATTGTTTAAACTGTATGATGGAGAAAGCATAGTGTTATGATAGTGTTTGCCAGTGGTACCTAATACTGTCTTTCCCCCACTGCTCTTATTAAGGAGCCCACCTAAATCCAGCCTTCTCTCTGGCCATGTGCTTGGTGGGACGCCTCCCCTGGGCCAAGTTCCCCATTTACTGCTTTGTGCAACTGTTTTCGGGTTTCTGTGCCTCAGGAGCTACTTACATTCTCTACTATGGTAACAAGGGAACACGTTTGGGGACAACTGTTGTGGGCAGGGGTGCCTTGCAGTGGTTTGGGATAAACAAAGACGGAAACTCTTGAGTGTCTCTCTTTCCTGAAGATGCCCTCCAGTACTACACAGGTGGGAACCTGACAGTGACTGGTCCCAAAGAGACAGCCTCCATTTTTGCCACATATCCTTTCCCCTATCTGTCCCTGAACAATGGCTTCTTAGATCAGGTAAGTGTAAAGGGAAGGCATGGGAAAGTGAGTCCCAACCTTTGACTTGCTTACTGGGTCCCCAGCTCGTTGTTCAGATTTGGGGTGAAATAGAGGGTTAGTTCTACCTTGGCATCTCTAGCTTCTGTTGGACAATGGCTCAGAGGTAGTGGCATGGAGCGTTTGAGGGAGGGCAGAAGAAACACCTGCCTGGCAGTTAATGGGTTTCCTTCCACCACCATCAACCCCAAGGTCCTGGGCACCTGGTTGCTGATTGTGGGACTGTTAGCTATCCTAGACAGACGGAATAAAGGAGTGCCTGCAGGTCTGGAGCCTGTGGTGGTGGGATTGCTGGTCCTCGCCATCGCAGTATCCATGGGTGGTAACTGTGGCTTTCCAATTAACCCTGCCCGGGACGTGGGCCCACGGCTCTTCACCTACTTTGCTGGCTGGGGTCCTGAAGTCTTCAGGTAGGAGACAGTTTCCCTTGGTACAGTCCTCATTCACCTCTATTAATAGCTTTGTTTGTGCTTCTCTACCTCCCCTCCCCTTTTTTTGAAACGGGGTCTCACTATGTACCAGGGTGCCCTCCCTCAGAGATCCTCTTGCCTCCCAAGTGCTGGGATTAAAGGCATATGCCACCATGCCCAGTTCAAGTTCTCTCCATTCAAACAGTTCTCTTAAATTAGTATTACTCTTTTAACTGGCAAATTTCCCCTTCCTTCATAGCTCTCCTAGTCCCCACCGCATTTTATGGAAATTGTAGATTCACAGGTGTCCTTGGGCTTGCCTTACTACTTCTTTGGGCTTTAGTAACCCAGTCCATAAAACAATTCTATTCAGTTAATTTCTCAAGACTAGAGGCGGGACTAAGTTGTGCTGGGGGTTCCCTCCTAAGTGCTTCCCATTAATGAAGGTGACCCCATGCTCATTGTGGGATCTGTCACGACAGGAACTAGCTTGGGAACCTGCCTTACTATTCCCAGCTCACAGGGAGAGGTGTGTCTGAGCGAATCACCACTGACAACATCCTCCTTTTGTCCTTTCACCGCAGTGCTGGGGATGGCTGGTGGTGGGTGCCTGCGGTGGCTCCTATGGTGGGGGCCACCCTCGGCACAGCCACATACCAGCTCCTGGTGGCTCTGCACCACCCTGAGGATCTGCAGCCGGCTCCTCCGGAGGCTTCAGACTTGGGAACTCCAGCTCAGCGGGAGTGTAAACTGTGACGCTACCAACCTTCTCTCACTCTGCAAGATTACCAAGAGCGAGCCAACTTGCAAGACATTCTCTGTATTAATATGCCAGACCCCGGGACGCTTCTGTTTACCCAGTTTTGCTTAGACTGAGGAGAACCAATAGTCACGATCAGGCTCTTCCTCTTCCAAACTGGTCTCTGCACGGTGAGGGCCTCTAGGCACGCAGTTTCCTAAAGTGGCCTCCAGGGGGTGTGCACACTGGCCGCTGGCTTTGGGAAGGTTTCTAGAAGCGGTTGGGTGGTGGGCTATTAACATCCTTTGAGGGGTAGGGTCCAGGAGCTTGGTTTCCAGTGCTCTGACTCCCTCTTTTTTCCCCTTAAGACAAGTTTCCTTATGTAGTTCATAGAAAGTTACTGGCCTTGACTTCAGTCTCCACTGCTGAGATTACAGCGTGTGACCAACACACCCAACAAGAATGATTCTTTTAAAAGACAAAAAACAAACTCAACAAATTTAAACTCGAGTCCGGAGTGGTGGAGCACGCCTTTCATCCTAGCACTCGCATCTATGAAACTTCCGGGCCTGTCAGAGATATATGTTGGGACCCTGTCTAAAAATAACAAAACAACACCACCACAAAACACACCAAAACCACTTAATATTTTGAGGTACTAGGGACCGAATTCAGGGCCTGGGCAAGTGCCTCGGAGGTGTTGGCTGCTAGCTTCGGCAATCTCAGCGCTTCTGAGAGAGAGACAGAGAGAGAGACAGAGAGACAGAGAGACAGACACATAGAGACAGAGAGAGACAGAGAGAGAGAGAGAGAGAGGGAGGCAGAGAGAGAGAGAGAGACAGAGACAGAAAGACGGTTCTTAGAGGTGTGTGAGTGACACGGTTCTTAAAGAGGTGTGTGTGTGTGTGTGTGTGACAGAGAGACGATTCTTAGAGGTGTGTGAGAGAGAGAGACAGAGAGAGAGAGAAAGAGAGAGAGACATAGAGACAGAGACAGACAGAGAGAGAGAGAGAGGCAGAGAGAGAGAGAGGCAGAGAGAGACAGACAGAGACAGAAAGACGGTTCTTAGAGGTGTGTGAGTGACACGGATCTTCAGAGAGAGAGAGAGAGACAGAGACAGAAAGACGGTTCTTAGAGGTGTGTGAGTGACACGGTTCTTAAAGAGGTGTGTGTGTGTGTGTGTGTGACAGAGAGACGATTCTTAGAGGTGTGTGTGTGAGAGAGAGAGAGACAGAGAGAGAGACAGAGAGAGACAGAGACAGAGACACATAGAGAGAGAGAGAGACAGAGAGAGAGACAGAGAGAGACAGAGACAGAGACACATAGAGAGAGAGAGAGAGAGCGAGAGCGGGGGAGGCAGAGAGAGAGAGAGAGACACACAGACACAC